ACAGAGGCCAATTTCAAGGCATTTAGAAGATGAGATGATGAGAAGATACATTCATTTTCTATTTAAACATAAAAACAGCATTTTAATGACAGCTAAAGGTGACATAGATACTTTATTATGGTATAGAATTTAAATGTATGCCTGAGAAACACATAATATTGTCCCTTTAACAATTTCTTTTCAGATCTAACTGGTCATTTGATACATTTTTTTCCTTAGTCACTTTTACAGTGTTTGAGGTACATATACATGTAAATTATCTTAATACCTCAGGAATGATGATGTCGTACAAATCACCAAAGAGGCTGGCCTGCTGAGCGAAGATGTAGTGTGAGGGAGTGCAGTAGGCGATCCCCAGAGCTCGAGTCAGGGAGGGATGGGTGCAGAACGACAGAGAAAGGTTGTATTCCCTCAGGAAGGAGAAAAGTGAGGTGGACTCACGAGGGAAGAACTTCAAAGCCATCGGAGTACCTGAGAGATCCGAAGGAATAATAATATTACATTTGTTTTTAAATTTGGCTCACGGCAGCTGTAAGACGTCGCTCACCTCTTTTCCTGTGCACAGCCAGCATGACCTTCCCGTACGAGCCTTCACCCAGCAGCTTCARCAGCTTGAAGTGCTCTGAAGTGTCCAGAGCTGTCAGAGACTGAGCTGTCAGGTGACACATCTCATCCAGAAGCTTTGTGGCTGCCTGGACACAGATAAACACATTAAATACATCCATTAAAAATAATAATCCCAACACAGTGATGCTGCTCTGTGTTGTTTATCTCTGATGGCTGAAGCCCTCGTGGCCTTCAGGAATCTAACACAACTGTTTCAGTGATGATTGTCACCATGGTGATGTTGATAGTGCTTATCCACTTGTATAAACACCACTGTTAATAGCCACATCCCATCACACCTGACCCTGATCCAGATCTTTGTTTTGTCCATGATGTTTCCACTACAGCTGACACCTTTGGACCAGGTTTAGGTGTCGGTGTGTGGATCAGAACATGGAGYGGCTCATTACAGCTCATTAGAGAGCTGCCGAAAACAGGGGGAATTCTTCACACCAACGGCTTCATGTATCTTTACTACCCCTCACACGTTTTACTGCACTTAAATTTTATRAAATGATTTAAAATTTAGAACAGAGTTCAGGAACAAAAAAACTCAGCTGATATTCAAATCTTATTTAATAGCTACAAACAACTGAAATACCATGTTACATTTTGTGGGTCTACATTGTCAAATAACTTTTTAGAAAAAAAGTAGAAAAAAAACTTTTGCAAAATGCTAAATTGTTAAATCTTTGAATTACAATTGCATTAACTTTTATGCATTTTTCCCTAAACTTACCATCTTGTGTTTTTGCAGCAACAATGTGATATTTTGCACATGTATGGTTTAAAGTGGATGACTGCTTTGAAACTAAACTCATCTGTTTGTGTTTTGATTATAAATGAGCTGTTCACCTGCCTGATGTATAC